ATTCATAACTACTGGGGGAGCGTAATTTAATAAATTCCAAATTACTTTTTTTTAAACATTAATTCAATTAAAAATTTATTTGAAGTGATACAATTAATGATTAAGGATTTAAATATCTAGATAACAAAATGAACCCTCTTAATTACTCTCTCATCCTTAAAATATTTCACTTTTTCTTTTCACAAATTAAGAAATTTTAAATAATTTTTTTTCTCTATTATCCTTAATAAAGAAATGAGGATGAATAGAAGAGTTTACTCCCTCCCTTCATTTTTTTGTAAATTTAATTTGGCTTTAAACTTTTTAGATATGAATTTTAAATAAAAATTTAATATATTATACAGATAATAATTAAATTTTTTTATCAAATTAAAGTATTCATCAAGGACTTCATATAGAAAAAAAATTTTCAATTATTGATCATATAATTTGTTAAATTTTTACATAAAATGTATATTTAAAAAATCAAGATATTAAATTAAATCTACTAAAACTGAACAAAAAGAATACCTAAATGATTCATATTTTTCCATTTATTACCAATGTTGATTTTTTTAAAATTACAATAGTTATAATATAATATTTTAATTATTATAAAAAAAAGTAATATAGACATTATAAAATTCTAATACGCTTATAATAAAATTTTAAAATATTTTTACTTATATAAAATTTAAAATTAAGTTTTCACGAAATAAAAATTAAAAATTTAATAAAGCCACCATTAAGGGTTTTTTTTTTTCCCGAAGGAACACAAGTTACTTAAAATTCTTACAGCGTCTCCAATCTCACGGAAAAATAAAGTAAATACATATTAATAGTGGACAACAGCACTTCAGAAATGAAGCACTCAATATAGCATGGGGTCTGGTTCATCAACAAAATAAAATAAATAAAGGCATGGGGGTCTGGGGAAGAAGGAATAAATGAGGGAAGGAGGGGGCTACACTCTTTGCTTTGCGTTGGCTCGCCCTGCTTTGATGATGTCCCATCAGTGAAAAAAGACAAAGCAAAGTACAGATGAGTTCAGAAAAATAAAGAGAGTGGAGGTCTCTGCTTCTGGAGGATCTCAAGAGAGTCAAGACCCTTCAAGAACGTTATTGGGGAAAAGAAAAGGGAAAACCCCCCCACCCCCCACCTGAAAAAGAATCTGCACAAGCACAAACCCTAGCCACGTTTTCTTCTGCCACACGCTTTTACCAAAGAAATGAAATGATCAATCAGAACCAGCATTATCTTTTTTTGACAGAAGAACCAGCATTTTCTTCTGCACAGTTGCAGATACAGATATTCACTATTGGCTACTTGCATGCTCAGTTTCAAACTTCAAAGCACATACACATCCATGACAACCATCCTCCTTTAATGTATTACTCAAACATCTACCATGCATTCAAGAAAAAACAAGCTCATTGACCAGACCTCGTTATGGCCACAAAATGTTAAGCTCACAAATGAATATTATAATTATATTTATTTTATTTTATTAGTTTATTAAAATATTTTAAAAAAGTAATCTATAAATTAATTAAAAATTATAACACAATATCGATTAATTATAAACTAACAACTACATCCATCAATTAACCATAAAAAAATTTACATCTATCAATTATTTATAACAATCACACTAATTAAATACAACCACGATATTTTCGTATGATAGTAACCAGGGCTCATTAACACCTCCCCCGGTCCCCTCCGCCAGTTTGTCATGGGTTCCCTTTGATTTTCTTTGGAAAATCCAATTTTTCCTTTCTTGGGTTTTCTTCCATTTTCCAGGGAAAATCACCATTTTTTCATTTAAAAGAAACGATTCAAACCAATAAACCAAATTTCGGCAAAAAAAAAAAAAAAAAAAAAAAAAAAGAAAAGGTAATTAAGCAACCAACAGAAGGGGAAGGATATGAGGTTTTTCTAAACAAACATTTAGCTAATTAGTGGCAAATCATATTCATAATATGAGACGGAACAATAAAATCACCACACATACATGATGAAAAAAAATAAAAAGGTCAGCTAATTAAAACTTCATTCACGGTGGCAGAAGATAAACTAAAGGAGATCCCAAAAACCTTCAACATCAGTAAGGCGGAGGAGGCGGTGGTGGTCTAGCTGAAGGAGCCCAGATGACGTCTGGACCACCCAACTGACAGTTGTATAAAGAGACCCCACTGGAATCTGCTCCACCATGAGCTGACTCTGCACCACCACCGGACATGGGAGGCGACTGGGATTGCCCTTCGCCGCCACCACTGGGTGAGGCTGGGTTCCTTCCCTCTTCCTCTCCTGGCAAGCGGTGATACGATGGATTGGTAAACGTGGCGGCCACGATAAAAACAGTCCCCACCGCAACCAGTGGTCCTGCAACAAACCCTCCAACGATCTGCCCCTGTGGACCAGCAAGAGAAAGAGAAAACGTATTGGGCACGTGACCGAACGTGGCTTGGGGGAGAAACGTAGCGGAGAGCGAGAGGATGTCGAATCGGCCGTGGAATGTTATGGTAGCTCCGGGATTGCTGGAGGGCTGGCGGAGAGTGACGTTCGCGACGGTGCCGGATCCCGTGAGAACGCAAATCCCGATATTCCTGCGCCTGCAGAAGCGGGAGATAGCTTCAACAACATCGTTCCCTCCTTGGACTTCTAGAATGTAAGGACTCATGGCAGACTCGGGCTCCCGAGTGATAAAAACTGGGGGCTTGGGCTTATTCTTGGACCCCGGAGGCCTTCCCCTTGGTCTGCGAACCACTTCAATGGTGGCTTCATCACCACCGCCACCACCGCTAGCATTACTGGTGTTGGGTTCTTTCTGGGTTAGGGCAGTGATGGGGACGGTGGCGTGGCTGGTGTCATCGGACTCCGCCGTTTGAGACTCCCTTGAGAGTTGGAAATGATGAGAGAAAGGGTGAGTTTGATGTTGGTGGGGATTTGGGTTAGGGAGCTGAAGTTTTGAGAACATGTTGGGAGTTTCATTTTTGGGTTCTACATATTCACCCTTCATGTCGGATTTTTCTTCTTTTTTTTTCGCACTTTTTAAATCAAGGGCCACTAATTCTTTTTGGTTTTTTATGTTCCTAGTGTATCTATTTTGTATGATTGGTGAGAATTTGGATTTGGGCAATTTGTTTAATAATAAAAAAGGAGGAGGAAAATAAAAGAAGGGCCAAGAACAAGGGAAGGAAGAAGAATGAATGGAGATGCAGATGGGTCTGGGGAAAACAAAGAGGACGGGATTGTGGGGTTTTGATTTGTTTATATAAAGAATAAAAGAATTGGGGATAGGGTGTTACAACTTATTATGAGAGAGAAAGAGTTGGGTGAGCTTTGAAAGCAAGTAAAGACTAATGGCGCCGCGGGTAGAAGGTAAGTCGGGTCCACAAAAAGGGGAGAGAGGCAGAAGAAAAGTGTTATAATTTTAATTTAAATTTTATATAAAATTATAAATTTATAATTATAAAATATTATTAAGTAAATATATATTTAGCACTTGATCTTCGGATTCAATGATATCAAATCATATATAAATGTATTTTTTCATTTTCAGGGTAATAGTTCAAATTTAATCTTTTACGAATTTGTTAAAAAAAAAGTAAATATATATTTAAAAATTTTAAATAAAAAATTTAATTATAATTAAAATTTTACAATTATAAATTTATAATATTATATAATATTATAATCTTATTATTTTTTAAGGGAAGAAACATGGGTAGCTCAACCTTGCTTGCACTGCCTGTGGCTTTTCTTGATTTCTCTAGTGTAAGTTTGAAAGAGAATGAAAACTAGAGAAAAGTTAAGAAATAGAAGGTACTTAAAGGTCCAACCGACCGGGTGGGGATGCACTGAAAATAACTCTTTGATGTTCTATTTTGGGTCTATGGGGGATGCCCATGCCGTTCAAATACCAGAGATTCTTTATCGAGAAACCATTGTTTTCTAATTGTAGGCGGCTGTAAATACAGCCAGTTTACAATTGAAATGACAATCTTGTCATTGATGAATGTGAAGGGAAAGAAAAAAAATAGGGGCAAAGGTATCATTTTATTTATCAATAACAATTTTTAAAGTTAGTTCAAAGTAAAAATTGATTAAAAATATCTTTACAATTTAGATTATATATATATATATAAGTCTGGATAAAATGATTTCTGGTCTTCTTTTTAACTTTTGGAAAAAAAAAAAAAGTTGAAAATCAAGTCTAGCTAGGTGAAATAGGCTATGACCTTCTACCCAAAACTTAGACATGTTCGCTATTAGAAGCTTCATACACTAGAGAATTCAATTTTCAGGCATACCCTCTACACGACCAACTTCTCCTAAAAAAAAGGCATACAAAGACTAGTCACAAGCACATGGTCTTTCTCTTTTTTGATGTTTTTCTAAAAGAGGAATTTGTCTCTCTACTAACTACTCCTCTAGTCAAGACCTCAGCACACTTACTTTGACAACAAGGTTTGATTTAAGTTGGGGACTATCAAGGATGACTTTCTCTTGTTTTTGTAATGGGGCTTGATAAAAGGGAATTATTTAATTCAAGGCTCATAATCATTTTTGCTTAAGGAGCATATTTAGAGGTTGGGCCCAAAAAAATAAAAGCATACTTTGAAATTTTGGAAGCTTACCTTGAAAAAGTCAAAAGATAGATACCTCTACTTGATCTTTTACCCAATGAAAAATGTGAAAAAAGTAAATATCGAAGGGGACCCATCTTTTACTCGTCATTTATTTGATGGCTAGGAGAATTTTTCTATTTCACTCATTATGATGTAGATTGAGTACTCACACCCTAACATATTAGGTTGTGGGCCCTCATTTTCATAACATATCTAAAGAATCGAATTTTACTATATGATCACAAGTCCTTATGTATGATTGATATAGAAATAATTTTTTATATTATTTTTTAATTTAATTTTTATATATTATTAAATATATATTTAATAGTAT